CTTCATTCTTCCATTTGCTTTAGCATTTCTATGCTGGAGAGCAAATTTAAGTATCTCTTCTGACATCCATTTGGACCTTTTCCGTCTTTCGTGTCTTCTTAATGACTTTCTGCTTTCTTCATGTATGATATTCTGGAAGTCATCCCACAACTCATCTGGTCTTCAGTCTTTAGTGTTTAATGTATCAAATCTGTTCTTCAAATGATCTCTAAATTCAAATTGTTTTCACTGATGATTTGGAGCTTTTCCATCGTCTCTTTCCATAGATGTAGTCAATTTGATTTCTATGTATTCCATCTGGTGAGGTCCATATGTATAGTCATCTCTTATGCTGTCTAAAGAAGGTATTTGAAATGAAAAAATCATTGGTTTTTCATAATTTAGCATGCATTCTCCACATCATTTCTATCACTAAGACCATATTTTCCAACTATGATCCTTCCTCTTTGCTCCCAACCTTTGCATTCCAATCACCAGTAATGATCGATATATCTTGATTGCATGTTTGATCAATTTTGGATTGAAGAAGTTGGTAGAATTCTTCTATTTCATCCTCACTGGCTTCAGTGGTTGGTGCACCAATTTGAATAATAGTGGTATTTACTGGGCTTTCTGGTAGGCGCATGGATATTATCCTATCACAGACAGCACTGGACTTCATGACTGATCTGGATATGTTCTTTTTGACAATGAATGCAACACCATTCCTCTTCAACTTGTCATTTCCAGCATAGTAAACCATGTGGTCATCAGATTCAAAATGACCAATACCAGTCCATTTCAGCTCACTAATGCCTAAGATATCAGTGTTTATGTGTTCCATTTCATTTTTGACAACTTCCAATTTTCCCAGATTCATACTTCGTACTTTCCATGTTACGATTTTCAATGGATGTTTACAGCTGTTTCTCTTCATTTTGAGTTGTACCCCATCATCAAATGAAGGACCCATGGGCTTTTCTCCCACCAGATTTACTTTATTCGCGTCATCATGGTCATCATAGTCTACTTTGAGGAGGCACCTCTTCCCCAGCCATATTTTGAGTGCCTTCAAACCTGAGGGGCTCATTTTCCAGCACTATATCTGACATTGTTTTTCTGCTATTCATACGGTTTTCAGTGACTAAATATTTGGAAGTAGTTTGTCTTATGCCTTGGCATACATGAAGGCAAAAGACATGAAAACAATATGCAGAATCTTACCAAAGTCCAAATCCGTTCTACTCTGGCAGCTCTGAGGACAAGATGTACATAAATTGATGAATGTAAGAGGGGAAATAAAGTATTGCTGCTATGGTTTCACTTCACACATGTATGGATTTATTCCTAACAAAATGTATTTAAACATGTCTCTGCAATTAGTAACTCGGTTCATTCTTTCTTCTTTTTTTTTAAAGTTTTTATTGTGACATTTACATGGGAAAACATCAGCTTTACACTCATCCTATCATATTTCGTTTCATTGCAATGATTACAATCCCCTCCATGCATCATCAAATAACCCCAAAGGGTACACCACACAGGCCTGCCCCCTGTCTGCCAGCACAGAGCCCTTCTCCCTCCCTGAGTCCAGTGTCCCCAGCCGCTCCATCTTTCCTCGTCATAGTCTCTGTCTCCATCCCTGGTGTCATTACCTCTCTGGGTAGGTTCCCGCTCTGCGTTCTTCTCACTTGATGGTCCCAAGGACCTCTACTCCTGGGCTGCAAAATCAATCACTCTCCTCCTTTTTTCCAAAAAACATCTACCTCTATATTTCTTAGCCTCACAGTCAATCCTGATGACAATTATTCACTAATGTACCACAAGAATCTTATCTCCATTTCCTTTCCTCAGCCCGGTCCCAACGGATTGGAAATCATTCAGTGGTGATTCTACCTTCCCCTGCCCTGTCTGGAACTAGGCTCCCTCTTGAAAGCTTGTGAGCCAGTCACTTCTTGCCTTTATAGGGCCCCCCCACCCACCATTTTGGGTAGTCAATGTCTATGTTGCCCATCCCTGTCAACCCTGTGTACCGAGGGGGTATAAGTGATCCTTGCTATAAAGATTTGTTCCCTTTTTTGAGCTCCTACATCCATAAGCATAGGCAAAGTTCACCAAATTATAACAGGTTATTCTTTTTTTTTTTTTTCCCCCACTTCTTTCTTCTAGTAGAGTTCTGATCATCCAGCCATTGAACCCAGGTCAAGTGGGCACTATCTGTAAGTATGGGTGTTCTTGTGCATCTCCCCTCACTTCATATCATCTGGATGCTTCACTCTCCACTCTAGTCCTCTGTGACCATGTCACTGCTATGGGTCCAGGAGTTTCCAGGTCTTGCCTTACTGCTGCCATCCAGGTCTCCATCCAGGTTCACAGGGGTCTATTGAATGTGGTCAGGCTTAGCTCTCAACTTTGTTGATTTTTTTTTTTCCCTCTTCTTCCCTTATCGCTGACCAACATGGTCACCAGCCAGACTATATGCCTGCTGATGTATTCCCCTTGAGTCTTAGTCTTAGAAGGGGGTTTGCTCTGAGG